ATGGTGATGAAGTATTTTGGAGACCACTCAACTACACGGATGAGTCCAGAATTACTGCACAATGTGCTGCTGAACACCTTTGCAGTTCTTCCCCTTCTCGTGGCCCTGCCCTGTTCCCCTGCTCCTGTCATACTGCTGTGTGTTTTTCATACCTCTTTGACTTTGTGTATGTGCTTGCACCACATTAATGAAGATCTGCTATTGTGAATCCCGACCTGACAATACAAAATAGTCATATCTCCTACATTATATAACACTGATTCTAGCATAGCTCTAATAATACCTTATTACACGATAAGTATTCATAGGTATGATTTGTCTCCTTACCAAGATTTAAGCTTCTTAAAGGCCAAATAAAAATGATTGATTTAGGGGCTTCCCTGGTGGTGCAGTGGTTGTGAGTCCGCCTGCCGATGCAGGAGACACGGGTTCGTGCCCCGGTCCGGGAAGATCCCACATGCCGCGGAGCAGCTGGGCCCGTGAGCCATGGCCGCTGAGCCTGTGCGTCCAGAGCCTGTGCTCCGCAATGGGAGAGGCCACAACAGTGAGAGGCCCGTGTACCGCAAACAAAGAAAAAAAAGATTGATTTAGGTCAATATTCTTGGCAAACTAGGATAGTTTCAGACACATGGTAGAAACTTCAGTTTTTTTTGGTTGAATTAATAAGTTAATCTCAATGGGAGAGGCCACAACAGTGAGAGGCCCGTGTACCGCAAACAAAGAAAAAAAAGATTGATTTAGGTCAATATTCTTGGCAAACTAGGATAGTTTCAGACACATGGTAGAAACTTCAGTTTTTTTTGGTTGAATTAATAAGTTAATCTACAATCTGGATTTTCCTATTATGATATCAGTTTATCCCACAAAGTAAACCACAAAACAAGGTATAGAATAGGCAGGCTATATAATATTCATGGTAAACTCTCAGAATCAACATGTTGAGAATTACTTCCCATCTCTCTCACATCACCCAATACTGATCTCTTTGGCTTGAACAGAAGTGTGCTGGCCAGGGATCCGTGTCATTCAAGGACGTGACTGTGGACTTCACCTGGGATGAGTGGCTACAGCTGACCTGTATGCAGAGCACCCTGTACCGGGATGTGATGCTGGAAAACTACAGCCACGTGGTCTCCGTGGGTGAGGAGTCTTCCCTGTGTAATGCCTCACAGTGTGCATTTTTTTCTTAGCTGCCAAAACTTATGAGCCCTTGGTGGAGCTTTATGATATTTGTACACCTCATGGGTCAGAAATGATTGCTGCTATTGAGCACAGAAAGAATGTTTCTGTTCTCACTTCCCTAAAGAAAGGTTCAAATGGGCACCATTATCATGTGAATCCTGAACCGGCACCTTCATTGTCCTTCAGGGCCCCCGATGTCCAAGCACCTTGTCTGAAGTCTTAACCCTGTATCTCACTCACCGGGTACTGCATCAGCAAACCAGAGGTTATCCTCAAGCTAGAGCAAGGAGAAGAGCCGTGGCCTTTAGAGAGAGCATTTCCGTGCCAGAGTGATCCAGGTGAGTTAGCCATTATCAGGTGAAAAAAAAGAAGCCACTGGAAAAGCAGACCCAGATGGGTTGGTCCAGCAGTTGAGACCTTTGGTGTCTGTCTCAGTACTTCTGTGTAGGGGCTTCAGACCTTGGGAAGTAACTGAACGGTGAGCCAGCCTGCCTCAGATAACCTGAACCACATTTCCGTCCACCACTCTTAAGTACCAGCGCTTTCCTCTCTGGCCTTTTAGGGAAGGTGACCATTCTTGTGCCCAGTGTTGACCCCTTGCCTGCCTCATGACCTTTGTTCTTAGTTTCTCCTCTCTAGTATTCATCTTCTCTCCATTTTCACGGACTATTTTCTTTTTAGTTTTCCCCACAGGCATTTATTAATTCATTCTGCAGATATTCTTACTCTGTGCCACCCACGCTCCTGGTGTCGGGGATACACCAATGAACAAACACTGTTCCTGAGCTCCTATAGCTTACAAGCTAGCAGGAGGAGGAGACGTGAATAAATAAGTTTACACATCCAGTGGTGACAAGAATGGTGAAAAGGACTAAAGCAGGAGATAGAGCGGGGTGTGCTCTTGTAAAAGGTGGTTGGAGAATGCCTTTCTGATGATGTCAGCATTAGAGCAGATAAAGAAGAAAGGAGGTGAGTCATGTGGCTTATGGGGGTTCCAGGCGAAGGAACAGCCACAGGGCCAAGTTCCTGCGGCAGGAGTTTGTTGGAAGTGCTCTGAGGAAAACAGGGAGGCCAGAGTGGTGGCAGGGGAGCACCTGAGAGGGATGCTGGTGGGAGGTGACATCAGACAGGTAGCCAGGGGCCAAATGATGTCTTACAGGTCACGGCGAGGGCTTTGACTTCATTTGGCGGCGAGTTGTGTAACTATTACTGGATTTCTGCAAAAGAGTATGTTTTAAAAGAATTTCTTTGCTACTATGCAGAGGAAATTGGGGACAGGGACAAGGGTGGTGGACAAAGTAAAAGCATAAAGACAGTGTGAAATGCTGGCTCCTGGAATACTGACCATCACCTTGGTTAAGGCAAATCTTAATTTATTGCTCACCCTGACAGTCTTCGTAGCATCTTGGAAAAGAGTGAACAAAGGTTGTTTATGAGATTCGAGGGTATAGTTTAAAGTATATTGTTTTAATTTAGGGGCTTAATAACCTTTGGGTAAGAATTATGATTTAACAGTTTGGGATTTGTGGACAGTTCTTGGATAATAAGTAGTGTAGTATCTATGGGAAAGGTGAGAAGTTTGTTTAAAAGGGTTTTGAGGAAGCTTCTGAAATGAACAGTAAGATCATTTGCAACTTTTATTTTCCTGGGCACGAGTTTCATGGGGCAGGAAAGTCTGCCGGTGAAGACAGTAGAACAGTAGTCATGGTAATGCAGAGAGTAAGCTGTGTGGATGTTGATGGTTTCAGCTCTCGACAGCAAAGAGGTGTTTGCAGTGGCTCAGATGTGAAGTGAGGGAGGGGGTAGACGTGATGAAATGTGGCTCCACGTTTGGAGAGTAGGATTTGCTGTTGGGTAGGATGTGGAGTGAGAGAACGGGGTGGGGAGCTGAGGATGACCTCAGTATTTAGTCTGAGCAATCTGCTGGGGTGGGAAGTGTTCACTGAGATGGGAAAAGTGGGGAGGAGCAGTTCGGGGCAAATTTTTTAAGAAGTGACTTTGAGAAGCGTCAGTGACTTGAGATGATGATTATTCAAATTTAGATGTTGATAAGGCCCTTGGACATACAGATCTGGAGTTGGAGAACAGACAGGAGTGCAGATTAAATTTGAAAGTCATGAGTTGAAAGGTGGTATGTAGACATAACTGGGCCTTGGGCAGTGGATGTGGATAGACAGGAAAAGAGGCTGCAACTCACAGCCTTAAAACATGTAGGAGTCACAAGCGTAACAGAGAAGAAAACCCAGAGAGATGTCAGGAGGGCAAGAACGGTGCTTGTCAAGAAGGACACAATGAATTTCTAGTTTGAAATTGGAAACATGAAGTCAGCGTTTTCCCTCTTTGTTCCTGTAAACCATCTAAAACCAACTAGGAGATTGAGAAATGAGTTGCAGACTGGTATTTTGTATAAATCTGAGAAATAGCTAAATTTGAAACCATGACATAAGGGGAAGAATGGTTGAAAGCAATAAAAAATCAAGCTGGGTACAGGCACCTGGAATTGGAACCAGAGAGAGACCTCCAGGGCTGCTGACCTCAGAAGGAAATGCAAGGTGACTAACCCTTGGTAAAACATCAGGAAGGGATTGAACAAGATTGTGGCAGGAACTTCCTTGTTACCTGCTTTGGTTCTGAGAAGCAGAGAAGTGGGATTCAGGGTGGAATCACACACATAACCCTTAACTGTGTAAAGTATTGGTCTTTGTAGCATTTGGGGGATAAACGAGACTTTGCACATGAAAATGCCCATAGAGAAATAAAAGATAATCAAATACAATGTTAAGTCTTTGGTCCTAAGCAGCCAGTGCAGGATGCATGGATGTTTTCCTAAGAAAAAAAAAGGGAGAAAGAGAAAAAAAAAAGGCAAAAAAAAAAAATTAGTAAGTGAAGAACACGTGCCTGAAAAATATTGTCATAGAAGAGAGAAATATTGTGACCAAGTATCTCACTATGAATGTTTCACAGCTTAATGAAGCAACTGCTTTTATGATGCAAAAGCACAAGGAACCATATTTAAGCACTGAGGGAAGAGATGAAGAGACACAGGAGATTGTCTGAAAGCTTCCAGTGCTCAGGAATGAACAGGAAGAAGAAACATCCTGACCGTAAAATGTGTAGAATTGGAAGGAGCACAAGGAGGTGAAAACATAGTGAGGGGCCTGGAAGAGAGAAGCACAGGAAGTGAGCAGATGGAATGGGCATCGGGGCACAGTTAAAGGGGTCACATGTGGAAGACTGGAAAAGGAGGTTCAGCATGCACACCATCCAGTCCCCCATGTGGAAAGCCAGAGATAATTGAATAGAACAAATACTTAGAGATACATTTCAAAGAAGCTTCCTGGTATGAAAGAAGACTGGAGTCTACATGAAAAGGACTAACTTGCGGGAAACTAACTCAGAATTGTCGCCACCATGGTGTATCCTAGGGAAGTTACTAGATTTTTAAAGAAAGAAAGGTTCTTTTTGGTCTGCAAAACCAAAGAATTAAGTCATTTAAAACTTTGTTGAGGAATATTGACAAATATAATTGTATATATTTAAAACGTACAGTGATGATTTGGTGTACATATATTGTAGAATGGTTGCCAAGATTAAGATAATTAACACATTCATCACCTTACGTAGTTAACAGGTAATTTGTATGTGTGTTTTTTTTGGGGGGGGGTGAGAATGATTCAGATATATTTGCAACAGCGTTCAACGGTACAATACCATATTATTAACTATAGTCACCATGCTCTACATTAGATCCCCAGCACTTGAATTAAGTCTTTTTTCTTTTAAATTCTGGCTGTGCTGCTCAGCTTGCAGTATCTCAGTTCCCTGACCAGGGTTTGAACCTGGGCCACAACAGCAAAAGCACTGAATCCTAACCACTAGACCACCAGGGAACTCCCCAGTCATTTTTAAGGGGGAGAAAAAAAATCAGGTTGATCTCAGACGTCCATAATAACATCCAGTGCTTTTAAAAGCAGTGGAGAAAGAATTACAAAATCCTTAAGAACTAAAAGTAAATCCCAATAATTTTATATGTAGACAAAATGTTATTCAGCTAAAGTAACAGTAAGTTTGAACATGCAAGAATGCAGGGAAATATTGTTCTTGTGAATTCTTTGTAAAGAATTTTCTAGAACATGAACTTTAATCAAGAAATGGTAAAGTATAAAATAGCAGAAGATTGTTTTTGAGTGCTATTTATTTAAGTGAGAACTAAGTCTAAAACAAGTGGGGATTGATTATCAGGATAGAATTAAAACATAAAGGACTTAAGATTTTAGGATTATTAGATATAAAGTTTTAAAATTTGTGTGGAATAGCCACGTCCCAAAACAAACAAAGCAGTTTAGAAGGCTAAGAAAAACTAGAGGGAGCTTGCCCTTTCAAATTCAGTGCTAGCTATTGGCTGTAGTGTGATATTAATATAAGAATAAATGGATCAGAAGTTAAGATTCCAGAACTAGCTCCACGCATATGGAAATCAGATATGTGAGAAACAGACAAAGGGGAGGTAATTCAGTAAGTGCCGTTGAGAAAATTATTCATATGGAGAAAACATTTGTCTTTTACCATTATACAGAAATCAATTTAAAAGTAAAATATATGAAACTTCTAGAAGAAAGTATAGTGGGATATGTTTATAACTATATAAAAGGGGAATATATGTACGCTCTTGATATATATGTATCATCATCTATGTACAATCCTTATGAAAGGGTTCTCAAACAGCACAAAAATACTGTTCTAGAAGAAAAAAATAGATTATATTAAGAACATTCACGCATTACAAAACACCATAAAAATTCAAAATTCATGGCATAGAGTGAGAGGACTTATTTGTAACATATATAACCAGCAAAGACTTAATATCCAAAATACATTCATGGCTTTTCTCAAACAGAAATTTAAATAAGGCATTATACATTATTCATTTTACTTAATTTCTGCTTCCTCCCACTGGAATGTAAACTTCATTAGAACAGGGTTTGTTTTCTTTCATGTCTGTGTTTCCACTGTCTAGGATAGTGCCAGCCACAGTTTAGCATTCAATAAAAGTTTGTTGAATAATGAACTCCTACAATTCATAAGAAGAAGTCAGACAACCCAACAGAGAAGTGGACAAAAGACATACATGAAAAGGAGACACAAGTGGGAAACAAAAACACAAATGATAAATGAGAATATCTACAACTTCATTCGTAATAAGTAAAAAGTATGACAGTGAAATAGCATTTTCTGTGCTCAAATTTGGCAAAAATTAAGACATCTTTCAATAGCAAGCAGTTTTGATCACATGATCACTCTGCTGGGAAGAGTTTGTCAAGAACTAGGTCTTACAATGTCCCTTCCCTGTACCTCATCTGTTCCTAAGAGTTAAGGTTTTCGCTTTACCCAGTGACTGAAAAATTCCCACGTCCTCTATCTCCGCCTCATCTGCCCTCTACTCTCTGTTTTACCTGAGTTGTTCTCGTCTTTTCGTTGTTAGTGTGGCAAAAACTAACCCTAAAATCATTTCTTCCAAATTGTAAATCTTCTCACGTTCCTTATTTCCACTTACTTGGGTTCTAATCCTTTTCTTCTTCTGTATCTGACAACCATGAAAAGCACCTGTAATACTGATCTGTCCATAGTTCCTCTTATTTTTAATTTTCTTTTGAAAACTGTCTTCTATAGCTTTTATTCTTACCTTCCAGTGACCTTACTCAAAACCAGAACCTTATTCTCTGATGCCTTATTTCATTCCTAATTGTAAGTATCTATTTTTAAATCTAAAGCATCTGTTTCGTCTTGTTGCTGGCCTTATATAATCCTAGGGTTGTCTTCTATTAAGATACCTTTTCTTAAACATATCAGTCCATATTCATCCTTTTTTGTTGATGTTACTCAAAAACTCATGGTAAGTTCCATATGATCCTCCTCCTAAATACTCTGCTCACACATCTTACCCACATCTGCACCTCTTCTTGAGGTTTGCCTGTCCAGTCCTTAAGAAAGGGCTTAGGACTGTGCCTGGCATGTAGTTAATGCTTGTTGTGCGTATTTTACACTTAGTTTATGTTTGAGCTCAAGTACTCACCTCTGTTTTGAAGTGCTTCTTACTCTCTCCCCTCTTAGAATTCCCATTTCACTTAGTAGCTGAGCCACAAGGAATTCAGACCTCATCATATACTGTGACACCTGAGAGCATCTGGTTATTGCTGAGGCTTTTGTCCCCATCTGGGGGGCCTCTTTTTAAAAACTCTTCCTTAATTTGATGTATAATACATAATAGATATGCTCATCTATTAATGCTGATAGATACGTTTATTCAGAAAGCATTTCCTAAGTACATAGGACTACATCACTTACCTGTAGATTCTGATTCATAGGGTACATGGATTGACATGGGGCTATGAGAGTCTATACTCCATGTTGTTATTTTTTTTTAAATTTGCTTTTATTTATTTGTTTATTTTTGGCTGCATTGGGTCTTCGTTGCTGTGCACGGGCTTTCTCTAGTTGCAATGAGCGGGCGCTACTCTTTGTTGTGGTGTGTGGGCTTCTCATTGTGGTGGCTTCTCTTGTTGCAGAGCGTGGGCTCAGTAGTTGTGGCTCATGGCCTCTAGAGCACAGGCTCAGCAGATGATTGTAGACCAGTGGTTGGTCTGTTTTGACCTTGGAGCTGCAGGCAGCTTGGTTATATTGTCTTATTTGCCTTCTCTGTCCTGACTCACAGGTTGTAAGTACTCTGGTTCTTTCCAGATTTTTCTTTTATTTATATAGCTCATATTTTACACTTGTGCTAATTAACTAAAGTGGCATTTTAATTGTTCTTGCTTTGTAACACTTCTCCAAGTCCCTCTTCGTTTCTATTTTTCAAGACTTTCTTGGCTTTTCCCACATTAGTTCTTAGAGGCGACCTTTAGAACGGATTTACCAGGCTCCTCTCCAGAGCTTTCTGGGATTCTGATTGAATTTAAATTTAGTCTAAAGTAGCTGCCTACTGAGTGGCACTCCTAATCCCACTGGCTGGACCACTTCCCCCTCCAACCAGAGGCAAGGCTCAGAGACGGTTTCTGTTGGTCTTTTTCCTGTGAGTGGGCCATACTTTCTTTGCGTGTTTTGTAATTTTTTGCTGAAAACTAGACATTTTAAATATGACAACATGGGAACTCTGGAAATCAGATTCTCCCCCTGCCCCAGGGATTTTTTGTTGTGGGTTCTTGTCGTTTGCATCCTTATTGACTTTTCTAAACTATTTTTATAAGTCTATATCCTTTGTCATGTGTGGCCACTTAACTCTTTTTAGTTTTTATTTTATACTGGAGTATAGTTGATTTACAATGTCATGTTAGTTTCTGGTGTACAGCAAAGTGATTCATAAAGATTCATAAAGAATATATGTATTCTTTTTCATATTCTTTTCCATTATGATTTATTACAAGTTATTGAACATAGTTACCTGTGCTATACAGTAGGTCCTTGTTGGTTATCTATCTTATATATAGTAGTGTGTATATGTTAATCCCAAACTCCTAATTTATCCCTCCCCCCTACCTTTCCCCTTTGGTAACCATAGGTTTGTTTTTGAAGTCTGTGAATCTGTTTTTTTTGTAAATAAGCTCGTTTGTATCATTTTTTTTAGATTCCACATATAAGTGCTATCATATTTGTCTTTGTCTGACTGACTTAGTACGATAATCTCTAGGTCCATCCATGTCGCTACAAATAGCGTTATTTCATTCTTTGTGTCTGGGTAATATTCCATTGTATATATGTACCACGTTTTCTTCATCCATTCCTCTGTTGATGGGCATTTAGGTTGCTTCCATGCCTTGGCTATTGTAAATACTGCTGCTATGAACATTGGGGTGTACTTATCTTTTCGAATTAATGGTTTTCTCTGGATATATGCCCAGGAGTGAGATTGCTGGATCATACGGTAGTTCTATTTTTAGTTCCTTAGGGAACCTCTATACTGTTCTCCATAGTGGCTGCACCAATTTACATTCCCACCAACAATGCAGGAGGGTTCTCTTTTCTCCACACCCTCTCCAGCATTTATTGTTTATAGACTTTTTGGTGATGGCCGTTCCGATCACTGAGGTGATAACCTCATTGTAGTTTTGATTTGCGTTTTCTAATAATTAGCGATGCTGAGCATCTTTTAATGTGCTTTTTGGCCATCTGTATGTCTTCTTTGGAGCAATGTCTATTTAGATCTTCTGCCCATTTTTTGATTGGGTTATTTTGATACTGAGCTGCATGAGCTGTTTGTATATTTTGGAGACTAATTCCTTGTCAGTGGCTTTATTTACAAATATTTTTTTCCCCATGTGTGGGTTGACTTTTTGTTATCATTTCCTTTATTGTGCAAAAGGTTTTAGGTTTAATTAGGTCCCATTTGGCTTTTTGTTTTTATTTTTGTTATTCTAGGAGGTGGATCCAAAAAGATACTGCTGCGATTTATGTCGAAGAGTGTTCTGCCTGTTTTCCCTCTAAGAGTTCTATAGTGTCTGGCCTTACTTACACTTAGGTCTTTAATCCATTTTGAGTTTTTGTGTATGGTATTAGAGAATGTTCTGATTTCATTCTTTTACATATAGTTGTCCAGTTTTCCCAGCACCACTTATTGAAGAGACTTGTCTTCTCGTATATTCTTGCCTCGTTTGTCGTAAATTAGGTGACCATAGGTGCATGGGTTTATTTCTGGGCTTTCTGTCCTGTTCCATTGCTCTGTATTTATGTTTCAGTATCATACTGTTTTGATTACTGTAGCTTTGTCAGGGCACCTGATTCCTCCAGCTCCGTTTTTCTTTCTCAGGATTACTTTGGATATTTGGGGTCTTTTGTGGGTCTTTTGTGTTTCTGTGCAAACGTAAAAAATTTTTGTTCTAGTTCTGTAAAAAATGCC